TAGGAAAGGTAGGGGGTGTGTGGACCAGGTGTTTACAGTGAAACATATAAGTGAACAGTATTTAGATAAGGCTAAAGAGGTTTTTGTGGCATTTATGCATTTGGAAAATGCGTATGCCCAGGGGATAGGGGGCAATGTGGCAGATGTTGCAGATGTATGGTATAGGAGGTAGGTTACTGAAAGCAGTGAAGAGTTTTTACGAGGATAGTGGGGCCCCAAGTTAGAGTATGTGGGAAAGGGGGAGATTATTTTCCCAGTAAAAGTAGGCCTTAGACAAGGATGTGTGATGTCACCGTGGTTGTTTAATATATTTATAGATGGGGTTGTAAGAGAAGTAAATGCGAGGGTCTTGGCAAAAGGCGGGAGTTAAAAGATAAAGAACCCACACATAAAGTGGGAGTTTCACAGTTGCTTTTTGCTGATGACACTGTGTTCTTGGGTGATTCTGAAGAGAAGTTGCAGAGGCTGGGGGATGTTTTGGTAGGGTATGTAAAAGAAGAAAATTGAAAGTGAATATAGGAGAGTAAGGTTATGAGGATAACAAAAAGATTAGTTGATGAAAGATTGGATATCAATTGGAGGAGAGAGTATGGAGAGGGATATGTATTCGATATTTGGGAGTGGACGTGTCAGCGATGGGTCAAATGGAAGATGAGGTGAATCATAGAATTGATGATGGGAAAAGGGTGAGGGGTTTGAACTTAGGAGTCTGTGGAGACAAAGAACTTTGTTCTTGGAAGCAAAGAGGGAAATGTATGAGAGTATAGTTTTACCAACGCTCCTGTATGGGTGTGAAGCATGGGTGATGAATGTTGCAGCGAGGAGAAGGCTATAGGCAGTGGAGATGTCGTGTCTGAGAGCAATGTGTGATGTGAATATAATGCAGAGAATTCATAGTTTGGAAGTTAGGAGGAGGTGCAGGATTGCCACAACTGTTGTCCAGAGGGCTGACTGACGACACTGGAGGACAGAAGGGTCAGGGGAGACATGATAACGACATACAAGATACTGCGGGGAATAGACAAGGTGGACAGAGATAGGATGTTTCAGAGAGGGGACACAGGAACAAGGGGTCACAACTGGAAGCTGAAGACTCAGACGAGTCACAGGGACGTTAGGAAGTATTTCTTCAGTCATAGAGTCGTCAGGAAGTGGAATAGCCTAGCAAGTGAAGTAGTGGAGGCAGGAACCATACATAGTTTTAAGAAGAGGTATGATAAAGCTCAGGAAGCAGAGAGAGAGAGGACCTAGTAGCGATCAGTGAAGAGGCGGGGCCAGGAGCTGAGTCTCGACCCCTGCAACCACAATTAGGTGAGTACACACACACATACAACTAGGTGAGTACACACACACACTCACACCACACACAACTAGGTGAGTACACACACACACGCACACCACACACAAATAGGTGAGTAACACACACCACACACACACACACACCACACACACACACACACACGCACACACACACACACACACACACACACACACAAAACACACACACACACACACACACACCCCGGGCCTAGTGTCTAATCGACATGTGCCTAGGACAAAATGGTAACTAATACACAAGCACACGTACTCCCGGCGGCGAGCCCATTGGAACCCCGGAAACCATCCCCCAATTTCCCTTTCCCCAGCCGGACAAATCCCCCCTCCTCAAAGCAAGTAAGATCCAACATTAAACCAGATATCCTGCGGGGAAAGCTGCCTCTCGCCGCCGTCCATATATTTTTCCTATTTCTGCAAACGTCTTATAGAAAGTAGCTGCCAGTACCCGTTTCGCCCACCAATCCCCATTCCCCGCATCCCCATGACACGTACACAAATTACCTTAATATGCCAGTGGGCCGCTTTTTACTCCTGGCATCTCCACTCAAACGAGGGGCTTCCATCAACGATCCCCCAACCCACCTCTGCCTCCTATCCTACCCATCAATCCCGACATTCCAAATTCCCAAAAATACACTGCTGATATCCGTATCTTCACCACCAGGGATGTATCGGATGTGAAATTTAATTAGAACATAAGGGAAAGGAGGAGCTGCCAGAAGGCCTACTGGCCGGGGGGGGAGTGAAAAAAAAACCCCCCCCCAACAAAAAAAAAAAAACCAAAACAAAAAAAACCAACACAAAAACGGGCCAGGACTATTGCCCTGAAAAAAAATTTTATGGAAACACAAAAAAAAGGGGACCAAACCCAACCCCCAAAAACCTGGGGTTTTTTTTTTTTTTTTTTTTTTTTTTTTTTTTTTTTTTTTTTTTGGGGGGGGGGGGGGGGGGGGTTTTTTGGGGGGGGGGTTTGGGGGTTTGGGGGGGGGGGGGGGGGGAAAAAAAAAGGGGGGGGGGGGGGGAAAAATTTGGAAAAAATTTAAAAATATTGGGGGAAATGTTGGGTAATTTTTTTTTAAATTTTTAAAAAAAAGTTTTTTTGGCCCCCCCCAAATAAGAAATAATTTAAAAAATTAATTAAATATGGGGGTTGTAAAATTTTGGGATTCCCCAAAATCCAAAAAAAAGTGTTAAAACCCCCCCCCCCCCCCTTTCCCCCTTCCCCCCAACCCCGAACACCCCCAAAATTCCCCAAAAATAACTGCGATATGCCGTATCCTCTCCACCACACACTAGGGATGTATCGGATGTGAAAATTTATATATAAGAACATAAGAATGGAGGAGCACTACAGAAGGCCTACTGGCCCATGCGAGGCAGGTCCTTATCAAAACGACCTCTACCTCATATTGAGTTACTCTATCCACTCTAGGGAGTTCAGTTCGAAATTCTAATTTTATGACCATTTGCTCCAAGAAGGGTTAAGGTGGTTGGCTGTGGTTGATCCCCAGGCAAAAATACCATAGATGAGGTAGGGATATATTAAAGAGTGGTATAGGGTAAGGAGTGTCGTTTGGGGTACATAGCATTGTATCTTGGAAAGGATCTCTAATGATTTGGAAGTTTTCTTGGATAAATGCTGGATGTGGGAATGAAATTTAAGAATACAGTTAAGGAGAAGACCTAGAAATTTACCCTCAGTGTGTCTTGTAATAGGGGAACCATTTATTGATATATTAAGTTGGATATTTAAGACTCTGTTTCTAAACAGCATGAAGTATGTTTTGTTTGTTGAGAGCGAGTTTGTTGGTCATCATCCAAGTATATATTTTTAGCAGCTCGTTGTTTACAGTGTCTAAGTATAGTTGGGTTTGAGTGGGAATAGACATAAGTAGTGTCATCTGTGAATATAACTGGTTTAAGGAGTTGAGATATATTGGGGAGATCATTGTTGTAGATGAGAAAGAGGACTGGGCCTAGGACACTACCCTGGCACTCCGACAGATGCAGGCTGGATAGTGGAGTTGACTCCATTTGCGTATACATACTGGTGTCTAGCGTTAAGATAAGATTTTAGGTGATCAAGGGAATGTCCTCTGATGCCGTAATGATTTAGTTTTAGGCGCAGGAGACTGTGGTCCATTGTTTCAAATGCTTTCCGTAGGTCAATGAAGAGTTCCAAAGGATGTTCATTTTTATCGAGGGCTGTATGTATTAGATCAAGCATTTGTATAATAGCATCATTCGTACTTTTTTTTTTTGTCTAAACCCAAACTGGCAGGGGTTAAGTTTGTTGTTGGATATGAGATAGGAGTAAAGTCGTTTGTGTATTATTTTTTCATATATTTTAGAAAGCGGGGGCAAGTTTGATATAGGTGTATAGTTGTTCAGATCAGGTGCATCACCTCCTTTGAGATCCTGGAGTCACCATCTGGCCGTCAGGGTGGCATGGTGTACCCCGGCACCTGTGCGGCCAGCCTCTGGATCCCGGGAGCCATCGGTGTAATATACGGCGCACCCAGGGTGCTCTGCTGCTGCAATACTCATTGCAGCCCATTGCTGCAGCACGTGTTGTGGACAGTGACGCTTGCTAACTGGGAGGTCTTGGATGTGGACCACAACTGCTTCTGGTGCCCAGGGCGGGAGTACAGAGTACCCCGCCACAGGCCGGTCACAGCCCTTGTCCACGATAAGCGCCATGGGGAGGAGTTTGCTTGCTACATCTGCCGCTGACCACACCCACAGCCGGCCAGGAGACTCCCTGAGGTCTCCCTGTTGCCGTTCAAGGAGGTGTTGCAGCAGTCCTTCTCCACCAGGGAGTTGTACGTACTTGGCCACCCTCCTGGCTGCCACAAGGGCGATCCTGTCGCGTAGGGGCTGCAGTTGAGCCTCATGATTCAGAGGCACAGTGTTCGTCCACCTCGGCGCGCCCAACATGATCCGAGCTGCAGTATTTTGGACGACGTCGAGTCTTGGAAGGTGCGAGGGGCGGGCATGGACCAGGGTAAGTGCCCCATAGTCGATGAGAGAGCGCACCGCCTGCACGTAGAATAATCGGAGAATGTCACGGCTGGGCCCGACCTAGGGTTGGCGAGGGCCCGCATGGCCGTGACCCGTTGCATGGTCCGCTCTGAGCATGGAGATTCTCCACGACTACGGTGCTCTTCGCACCTACTCCAAGGTTGAGGGACTGATTACCTCATCTTCTGTACATAGTCTTACTGTTTTCAAGTTATGTCCTAGAATTTGTATTGATAAAGCCACTGGATGGCGAAACGTCTACAATAAAGATACCCAGATGTTGCACATGTGTGTTAATTTCACAGTAACTGAATGCTGTTATATTCCTGGTTGTACTGAGAACAGTGTCTGACTTGCAGTGTAATAAATAGTTATTTTTGGAATAGCATTGATTGTCAATGTGGTTTAACAGATTAAAATCTGTATTGATAGTAGTAGTAGTAGTAGTCCATAAGAAAACAAAGGAGCACTGTAGGAGAGCTATTGGCCCATGGGCATAGGGCAAAAACCCTCTGGAACATTACCCCTGTAGGATAGTTACTGTATATATAATTTGCTCTGATGTATAATTATTAATGAAGTCCAAACCCTTGCTTGAACCTTAACCTTTGACTAAAAAAAAAAAACTCTTCTTTCCGCAGCTGTCTGCCCACAAAAGTGTATTCCACTGTCAGAGTGTGTAGAGCTCCATCAGCTACTAAGAAACCCCACCCGTGAAAATATTGCCATACTGCAGGATGCTACTTGCTCTTACGAAAAAGATCCTACGGTAAATTTCTCAAATGAGTTTAATACCATAAATTATGTATAGTAATCTAGTCATAGCACTGCTGGTTTTCTTTAATATTACAATAATTATTTTTTGACAGGTATGTTGTCCTCAAAAACAGTCTTTGTTGCCCAAAAAATGTGGTCAAGGCCCAATCCTTGACAGAGTCGTTGGGGGAACAGAAGCACCACTTGGCAGTCATCCTTGGATGGCTGTTTTAGGCTATTCAGGTGAGCCCATATTATTACTTGCATGCCCATCTACCCAGTAAGGGCTCTGATAAGCATGACCTTTATAGCACAGCATTGTAAAAGAACATGGAAGCTTAATTGCCATGGGAAGATGTAGAGTATATCATTAGGGTGGTGCTGCTGATCACAGGGAAGCAGGCAAACTCAACAAATATATTGACTTGATCCACCTACATAACTTTGCCCTAATATGACTGGAGACCCTTGGTACCCCTGAGAAAAAAAATGCCTCAAATTTTCTCAAAGAACTAAGTGCTAAGTATATAAATACTGCTGTACTAAAGATTAAAGGAATACTGCCTTTTTCTTTAAGCCCTCAATGTGGTAAACCAGAGGAAAAAATGCCAGATGCAACTTTGGTTCTTGCTCAGCCTCTTAAAGAGCTCTGCAACATGTAGCTGTTGTGTGTGTTTATTTATAAATAAGTAAAAAAAAATGGGGCTGTAGAAGAAAATGCTCGAATGATGTCAAGTAGGACACCTTAAAATTTATCATTGAAGTCCTTGTATTCTCTTTTCTGAGGTATGCACTCTCAAAAATCTGCTGCACTAAAGGTGTAACCCATATGTAGTATGAGGAGAATGAAAGTGGGTAAAGCAGTTGATACAAATGGTATGAAGGCAGAGATGCTGAAAGCAAATGGGGCTATACTTTTGAAGTGGCTGGTGTATTTGTTCAATATTTGCATGAAAGAAGTGTAGTAGGTTGGTAGACAGCAACCACCCAGGAAAGTACTACTGTCCTGCCAGATGACTGTGGAATAGAAACCTGTAACTGTTTTACATGATGGTAGGATTGCTGGTGTCTTTTGTCTGTCTCATAAATATGCAAGATTACAGGTAAGTCTTGCTACTTCTACTTACACTTAGGTCACACTACACATACATGTACAAGCATATATATACACACCCCTCTGGGTTTTCTTCTATTTTCTTTCTAATTCTTGTTCTTGTTTATTTCCTCTTATCTCCATGGGGAAGTGGAACAGAATTCTTCCTCTGTAAGCCATGCGTGTCGTAAGAGGCGACTAAAATGCCGGGAGCAAGGGGCTAGTAACCCCTTCTCCTGTATATATTACTAAATTTAAAAGGAGAAACTTTAGTTTTTTCTTTTGGGCCACCCCACCTCGGTGGGATACGGCTGGTATGTTGAAAGAAGAAGAAGAAGAAGAAGAAGAACTGTTTTACATGATGGTAGGATTGCTGGTGTCTTTTTCTGTCTCATAAACCTGCTGGATAACAGGGATATCATGCTACTCCTACTTACACTTTGGTCACACTTCACAGACACGCACATGCATATATATATACATACATCTAGGTTTTTCTCCTTTTTCTAAATAGCTCTTGTTCTTCTTTATTTCTTCTATTGTCCATGGGGAAGTGGAAAAAAATCTTTCCTCCGTAAGCCATGCATGTCGTATGAGGCGACTAAAATGAAGGGAGCAATGGGCTAGTAACCCCTTCTCCTGTAAACATTTACTAAAAAAGAGAAGAAGAAAAACTTTATAAAACTGGGATGCTTGAATGTGCATGGATGTAGTGTGGATGACAAGAAACATGGTTGTTGATGTTATGAATGAAAAGAAGTTGGATGTCCTGGCCCTAAGCGAAACAAAGCTGAAGGGGGTAGGGGAGTTTCGGTGGGGAGAAATAAATGGGATTAAATCTGGAGTATCTGAGAGAGTTAGAGCTAAGGAAGGGGTAGCAACCTTTGCTGGCCTTAAATTCACTCACATCACCACTAGTTGCAGGCATTTTTCTAATTAAATTGTCATGCAACTTCCTAGCCTTTTCACATATGATCGCTTGAGAGATGCTATCTCCTGCTATCTGTTTTTCGTTTATCCACACCAATAACAGTCTCTCAACATCTTCTATCACTTGCGTTCTCTGTTTCGAAAACAAAGTTGCACCTTTGGCAAGAACAGCTTCCTGGATTGACGTTTTCTTGGCCAAAATAGTAGCGATGGTTGATTGGGGTTTTGTGTACAACCTGGCCAGCTCGGAGACACGCACTCCACTTTCATACTTAGCAATGATCTCTTTCTTCATATCCATAGTAATTCTCACCCTTTTTGCTGTAGGGTTGACACTAGAAGCTTTCTTGGGACCCATGGTGACTTATTTTGCAGGTGCAATCACTAAAAACTCTGTGATAATATGAAATGTTTCGATTGTATGTTTGGATGGGACCGCGGTGGCTGTCTGGCTTATAAATACTGGCCACAAGTGGACGTGTCTCGAACGGAACGAATTGTATTGGTCGAGTTTTTTAGCGCTAGTCAAGGCAAAATTTTTGCTTTAAAATGTATCGCTAGTCGGATTTAACGTTAGACGATGCCATCATTGGTCGAGGGTCCACTGTACTAGTACGCCTAAATTCTAGCGCCCCTAAATCTAGTGAGAGAAAGCTGGTAGGCCTACATATGTAAGAATGGTCTATGTGGTCAATGTGCACAGTATAAAAGAAACCCTGCAGCACACAGTGCATAATGAGAAAAACAAAACCTTTACCGTGTTTTTGGATTAAAACAGTGACTTTGCACTGTATTTTTGTATGGTATTTATTGTTGTATTCTAGTTTTCTTGGTCTCATTTTATAGAATGGAAGACATATTACAGAAATTGAGATGATTTTGACTGGTTTTACAATGAAAAGTACCTTGAAATTGAGCTCAAAGTAGCAGAAATGTTCTATTTTTACCAAAGTTCATAAGTAAACAAATCATGCCAAGCGTCCAATACACGTCAACTGGTGAGTCTAATATTCTTCCCCAAGTATGCTGATATTATTTACGTATACCATTTCTACACTAATGCAGTAGTCTGCATAACAGTAAATCTTAATTTTTTTGTAAGAGTAAAAATTCAAAGTGGAAAGCCAAAGAAATATAAGAGGGGGCCTGGGGATGTGTCTAACAAACAGAGAACTTGTTATTTTAGTGCCAGGAATGTCTTTCTTGTTTATTCTGGACCCTTTTCGGAAATTGGCATCTTTTGAAATTTTGTGAAATTGGCAAAATTGCTAAATTCTGACCACTTTATTGGATAGTTGAAATCGGTAAATGGGTGGTTTCTTGTACTCATTCGATAGAAAAAATGGAGTTTTAGGAAAATAGTTATTATTTTTGTCAACTAGTACACTGGAATTGGCCGAAAATAGGGCTCAAACTGGGCAAAATCGCTGATGCATAAACATCGTTGAGACCGCTAATTTCGCAAGAGCATAATTCCGTAAGTTTTCCATCAAATTTCATACTTTTGGTGTCATTATGATTGGGAAAAGATTCTCTATCTTTTCATAAGAATTTTTTTTTTTTTTTGAAATTTGGCCGACCCTGAGAACAAGTCTCTGAGAGGACCTGTCAGCCCCCAAAGGGTTAATGACTGGCCAGGCAATTCCCCAGACCTAAACCTATTGAGAACCTCTGGTCAATAGTGAACCAAAGTTTATGGGGCAAGACTGCTCTTCATGAGGCATGAAATAATATATATCCCCAAACCCTCGAGAATTTGTGTGAGAGTCTTCCTATGTGGCGTAAAGGATGCAGCACCAAGTATTAAAACCTCAGTAAGTGTGCAAATATATATACATTATATATATCTAATATAATATATATATATATATTAATATAAAATATATATATATATATATATATATATATATATATATTTTATATATATAATATATACATACATACATACATAATACAGTGGACCCCGCATAACGATCAAACCCCCAAATGCGACCAATTTTTGTAAAATTTTATTTATGTAAGTGCGTTTGGGACGTGTATGTTTGGGGGGCTGAAATTGACTAATCTACTTCAACAATATTCCTTATGAGAAAAAAAATTTGGTCAGTACTGGCACCTGAACATACTACTGGAATGAAAAAGTTTGTTAACCGGGGGTCCACTGTTTATATATTTGAAAAACAACCTCAAAAGAATAGAGAAATTCCCAAGCGCTTCGTGATATACATTATCGGGGAATATGAAAGTAAGCACCCAAGGAAGCTATATAAGGGGTCGGCCAGCACCTCCTATCGATCCCACAACGGTTAAACCGTGCGCGCGGCGACCCAAATTTGGATAGGCCTTTGCAAAATCACCCCCAGCTATTTATTTGTCAGTGTATTATTAAATTTTCCCCAAATTCTATTTTTTAAAAAAAGGATCTTTTTTTTTAAAAAACCAAAGGGAAAATTTTCATATTATTGAAAAAACTGCTTTTTATGAAACAAGATTCAATTTATTCCTGTCGACAGGATTTGCTTGATACTATTTCTCAACTTTTTGAAAACAATTGGAGGGTTTAAAATCTCTTACATGAAAAAATAGAGCATTGGAATCTTGTCCAGTTCTAATGCAATTTATGTTGTTTTAATCTTAGTTCGAGATTTTTACCATTGGGCCCGTAAAAATTTTTTGCAAATTTTAAAAGGGAACTTAAGCACATCCTCAGCTTTTTGGGGGGAATTCTTAATAAAAAGTTTTTTTACTGTATCAAGTTTTTGAATACAACTTTAATATTAAAAAGTTTTAAAGAAGAAAAGGCTATCAACCAAGTTTCATGGTAAGGGAAAACCAACATATTTTTAGTTGAAAAGGCGGGTTCCCTTTTTTTTGGATTATAAAAAGTTTTCCTAGCAACTTTAAAAGATTTATAATTACATTTTTTGGGTTTTTTAAAATCATTCCCTATTTCAAAAATTTTGGATATTTCCTCATCATGAACTCAGGATACAAATTTCGAAAAAGTCCAAAAACTTTGATGGAAAACAGAATTTTTTCTCTATCTTGATGGGGAATAATAGTGGACATGGAACAGTTTTTTGTAGGTTTTTTGAAAATTTTAAATTTGAATTTTTATCCCCTTTATAATTAAAAACATCTGAAAAGGAAATGGTTATTTTTTCAAACTCAACAGTAAAGTTTATAAAATGGGTAAGCTATTTAATTTTCCAAAAAAATA